CTGGCTTGTGTTCCCTCTCTTGCTGTGTCTCACTTTGTCAAATAAATAAATAAAATCTTTAAAAAAAAAAAGAGAATCTCTTATGATTTGCCTCCCTCTCTCTTTTTGCCTTGCTTTATTTTTCCTTCCCTTCCCCTCTGTTCATCTGTTTAATTTCTTAAATTCCACATATGAGTGAAATCTTATGGTATTTACCTTCCTCTGATGGACTTATTTCACTTCACATAATACCCTCTAGTTCCATCCATGTCATTGCAAATGGCAAGATTTCATTCTTTTTGATTGCTGATTAATATTCCTTTGTGTGTGTGTGTGTGTGTGTGTGTGTGTGTGTGTGTGTGATCCACTCATCTTTATCCATTCATCTGTCAGTGGACATCTGGACTCTTTCCATACTTTTGTTATTGTGGACATTGCTGTTATAAACATTGGGAAGCAAGTGCCCCTTCCAATTACTATGTTTGTATCCTTTAGATAAATACCTACTAGTACAATTGCTGAGTCCTAGGGAAGTTCTACTTTTAGCTTTCTGAGGAGCCTCCATACAGTTTTCCAGAGTGGCTGCACCAGTTTGCTTTCCCACCAGTAGTATAAGAGGTTTCCCCTTTCTCCACATACTCACCAAACATTTGTTGTTTCTTGAGTTGTTAATTTTAGCCATTCTGACTGGTGTGAGGTGATATCTCATCGTGGTTTTGATTTGTATTTCCCTGATGCTGAGTGATGTTGAGCATTTTATCATGTTTCTGTTGGCCATTTGTATATCTTCTTTGGAGAAATATCTGTTCATGTCTTCTGCGCATTTATTTTTTTTTAAGATTTTATTTATTTATTTGACAGACAAGTAGGCAGAGAGGCAGGCAGAGACAGAGAGAGGAGGAAGCAGGCTCGCCTCTGAGCAGAGAGCCCGATGTGGGGCTCAATCCCAGGACCCTGGGATCATGACCTGAGCCGAAGGCAGAGGCTTTAACCCACTGAGCCACTCGGGCACCCCTTCTGTGAATTTCTTAAGTGGATTTTTGTTTGTTTGTTTGTTTGTTGGATGTAGAGTTCGATAAGTTCTTTTTTTTATTATGTTAAATTAGCCAACATATAGTACATCATTAGTTTTTGATGTAGTGCTCAAAGATTCTTTAGTTGTATATAAAACCCAGCTCTTTAAAAAAAAATTTTTTTTTTAAGATTTTATTTATTTATGTGACAGAGATCACAGGTAGGCAGAGAGAGAGGAGAAAGTAGACTCCCCGCTGAGCAGAGAGTCCGATGCGGGGCTCGATCCCAGGACTCTGGGATCAAGACCTGAGCCAAAGGCAGAGGCTTTAACCCACTGAGCCACCCAGGTGCCCCTAAAACCCAGCTCTTTATAGATTTTGGATACTAGCCTTTTATCTGATAAGATGTTGTGACTATCTTTTCCCATTCCATAGGTTGCCTTTTAGTTTTGTTCACTGTCCCCTCTGTTGTGCAAAAGCTTTTCTTCTGGATGGAGTCCTAATACTTCATTTTTGCTTTTGTTTCTCTTGCCTTTGTCTAGCAAGAAGTTGCTGTGGCTGAGGTCAAAGAGGCTGCTGCCTGTGTTGTCCTCTAAGATTTTGATGGCTTCTTGTCTCACATTTAAGTCTTTCAACCATTTTGAGTTTATTTTTGTGTATGATGTAGGAAATTTATCCAGTTTCATTCTTCTGCATGTGGCTCTCCAGTTTTCCCAACACCATTTGTTGAAGAGACTGTCTTTTTTTTTTTTTTTTAAACCAAGGGATATACAGTTGAGGGTCCATTTCTGAGTTTTCTATTCTGTTCCATTAATCTATACTGTCTGTGCCAGTACCATACTGTCCTGATGATTACAGTTTTGTAATAGAGCTTGAAGTCTGGAGTTGTGATGTCTCCAGATTTCATTTTCGTTTTTCAACATTAATTTGGCTATTTTGGGTCTTTTCTGGTTCTATGCAAATTTTAGAATTGTTTGTTCCAGCTCTGTGAAAAACGCTGGTGGTATTTTGGTAGAGATTGCATTGAATGTGTAAGTTGCTTTGGGTAGTATAAACATTTTAACAATATCTGTTCTTCCAGTTGATGAGCATGGAATGTTTTTCCATTTCTTTGGATCAGAGTACAGATCCTTTACCTCTTTGGTTAGGTTTATTCCTAGGTATCTTATGGGTTTTGGTGCAATTGTAAGTGGGACCAATGCCGTGATTTCTTCCTTCTGCTTCATTGTCAGTGTATAGAAATGTAGCAGACTTTTGTGTATTGATTCTATATCCTGTGACTTTGCTGAATTCCTGTATCAGTTCTAGCAATTTTTTGGTGGAGTCTTTGGGTTTTCTTTTTTTTTCTTTTTCAAGATTTTATTTATTTATTTGACAGACAGAGATCCCAAGTAGGCAGAGAGGCAGGCAGAGAGAGAGGAGGAAGCAGGCTCCCTGCTGAGCAAAGAGCCCAATGCGGGGCTCGATCCCAGGACCCTGGGATCATGACCTGAGCTGAAGGCAGAGGCTCTAACCCTCTGAGCCTCTGAGCCACCCAGGCGCCCCTCTTTTGGGTTTTCTACATAGAGTATCATGTTGTCTGCAAAGAGTGAGAGTTTGAATTCATCGGATTTGGATGCCTTTTCTTTCTTTTTGTTGTCCAGTTGCTGAGCCTAGGACTTCCAGTAATATGTTGAACAATAGTGGTGAGAGTGGACATTCCTGTTGTGTTCCAGACCTTAGGGATGTAGGATGATATTCACTGTGGGTCTTTTGTATATGGCTTTTATGATATTGAGGTATGTTCCCTCAATCCCTGCATCGTGGAGGGTTTTTTTTTTTAATCAAGAAAATCTGCTGTATTTTATCAAAAGATTTTTCTGCATCTATTGAGAGGATCATATGGTTCTTGTCCTTTCTTTTATTTATGTGGAATATCACATTGATAGATTTGTGGATGTTGAACCACCTCTGAAGCCCAGGAATAAGTCCCACTTGGTCCTGGTGAATAATCCTTTTAATGCACACTTGGATCCTATTAGCTAGTATCTTGGTGAGAATTTTTGCATCTCTGTTCATCAGGGATGTTGGTCTGGAATTCTTTTTGGTGGGGTCTTTGTCTGTTTTTTGTTTTTGTTTTTTGATTTTTTTTTTTTTTTTTTTTGGATCATGGTAATGCTGGACTCATAGAATGAGTCTGGAAGTTTTCCTCCATTTCTATTTTTTGATTAGCTTCAGAAGAAAAGGTATTAATTCTTTTTTAATCGTTTGGTAGAGTTCTCCTGGGAAGCCGTCTGGCCCTGGACTCTTTTTCATTGGAGATTTTTGATTACTGATTGAATTTCTTTGCTGGTTTTGGGTCTGTTCAGGTTTTCTATTTCTTCCTGTTTCAGTTTTGGTAGTTTATATGTTCCTAGGAATTTATCCATTTCTTCCAGATTGCCTAATTTGTTAGTATATAATTGCTTATGATACTCTTTTAAAATTATTTGTATTTCTTTGATGTTGGTTGTGATTGCTCCTCTTTCATTATGATTTTATTTATCTGGGTCCTTTCTCTTTTCTTTTTGGTAAGTCTGGCCAGGGTTTTATCAATCTTAATTCTTTCAAAGAACCAGCTCCTACTCTTGTTTAACTGTTCTACTGTTTCTTGATTCCTATATCATGGATTTCTTCTCTAAACTTTATATTTCTCTTCTTCTGCTGGATTTAGGCTTTCTTTGCTGTTCTTTTTCCAACTCTTCTAGGTGTACGTTTAGGTGGTGCCTTGCTATCTCTTATGTTCTTTTTCTTGGTTCTGTAGAAGAAAAATATTCTCAAATATTCTCTGGTGAAGTTTTGTTCTTAGAAATACAATATTTAATTTTCCATTACTTCCCTCATTAAAATTAGACCGTGAAGCTAAGTTTTCTTGCTATAGGGAAAGCAGCACCTCAAAAAACCAAGTGACAACAAAGAGTCGTATTTATGCTTCTACATTCCCCTGCAGAACCTTGAAAGGTGTGAAGTTTCATTGTAAAGGCCAGTCTCATAAAAGAGAAGTGGTTACCTAGTTGCAAAATTTACTGAGTAATTACTTTGTGGCACATAATATCTTTAGAGTTTGCATGGGTTATCTATTTTCTCGTCACTATTGTTATTCTAGTCTTAAAGATGATGCTCAGAGAGAGACTGATTAACTTGTCTGAGGTCACTCAGCTAAGAAGTAGGAGAGCCAGGATTTGGGTGTGGATGTATGGCTCTGGGACCCTACTTCCTCACTCTGTACCTTGTCTTATATGTTGGGTGTTGTGTTCATGGCAGAGAATACAGCAGAGAACAACACCGTTTAGAAGGTCACTGGTTGAATCTCTTGCCTTGTGGGTCTTTGTACCAACCTTTCAAGGTTGGAATAAAGAGTCCTCATCTTATGCATGAGAAAGAAAGGCAAACATGGGGAATTGTCTTTCTTAAGGTTGTAGAAAGATATAGCTGAAAGATAGAATTAGAAGCCAGGTGTCTCATAGCTCTTTAATGCCCTTTCTCTCTTTCTCTGTTCTGGGAGCACTTCCATTCAGCAGATGTGGGGTCAGTGCTAATGTCTTGGCAGTTAACCAAAGCTTTGCTCAGGCTGCAGGAACTCCAGAGCCCAGGAACACTGGGGGCCAAAGGATGGTATTTGGTGAAAGAAGGAAAGCAAAAACAAAGAAAACAGATTGGCTTTGGGATTTTGATGAGACTTATGACCTCAGATATAATGTCCCAAGGCTTCAGGATAAAGGTGGATTCTGGGACAGGGCAGGATCTGTGGATGGAGGAGTTTGTGGGTGTGCTCAGAGAGGCATATTTAGAGATTCACAGATGTGGTGATGAGAAGGATTAATTAGTTTGGGAATGGAGGAAATGTCTTTTAATCAGGGCTTTTAAGAAAATTATTCTTGGCAAAGAGAAGGAGAATGTTAGAAAAATAGATCCACTGTAGGGGTTGGTAAGAGACTCTTCTGTTGAGCTCCCCAAGGTAGCTGGGTCAGAACAGACATGCAAAGCCCCTTACCTGTCATAATTTACACGGTTGTTTAATGTACAGACTATCCCACAGAAGGAAGAACAGCACTGAAGTCCGTTTTGGCAATCTTCCTGCAATGTACAGAATTGAGTACAGTTTCCAGGATCTGATCTGCAGGGTGGGGGCTCCAAGATACTCCCTGGAACACAGACCAGGAAAGAGGAGGGTCTAAACAATAGACTGGAGCAACATTCAGAACTCCAAAACCCCAGGTAACTGCCAGAAAACCAGCCACCTGATCTTCCTCCTGTGGTCACAGGGAGGTAGAATCAGATTTTGTCCTTAGCTGTTGCCTTTCTCTGAGTTCTTGGCAGGGAAAACCAAGGCTTGGGTATCTGACTGGAGACAGGTCGGCAGAACCCTGTACCCATCCTTGCAGATCAGGTATCTCATAGACTGTAGTTAGGTCCAGTTCAAGAGATGAACAGTGTGTGATGAGCAAGAGAGTGGTGTGTAGGTGCATTTGCACTGAATCATTGTGTAGTCCCAAGCAAATTGTACAACCTCTCACTAACAACATAGTTTATCCTAGGATTGACCTAACACGTGCTATTTGTGTGTAGGAAAAATGAGGGGAAGGAAGATTTTGGGAAAGGATGAAGTACACTTCAGTACACTAAAGATACTGGCATCTAGAATACTGGGACCAGAATCACAAATGAGTTCTGGGTGTAAATTATTTCATGGGGTTGAGGGTGAGTATTTTGGAATGGGGAGCAAAGATCAACTTTTCTTTCTTCCCAGATCTCTTCTGATAAGGAAGTCAGAGTGTCAGGATGCCCCCACTTTCTACTATTAGAGAAGAATAAGCATTTTAATGCTAACATCTCATTCTCCCCTCATCCCTCAGTACTTGGGTCCAAGTCAACACCACCTCCACCAGGAGATCCTGCCACAGGGCTCCAGCTCACAACCTACTTTCTGTTCCTGAGCTCCAATGCATTAAGGATAGGTACAATTAGCCCTTTCATCAAAGCCCAGCCAGGCCCTAATTTTTGTACCTTGTGACTTGCCCTTTTTTTGGGGTAAATGCCATATGTGGAGCATTCTATAAGCCCCTGTTGACTTACAGCTTTGCAAGTATTTGCAATTAGAAAGGGGTCCATAGGATATCATACTGATCTGGAGGGAGCAAATGATTAATGAAATTGGGGGCTATAATTGTAACAACAAATAGCACCAGAGAAAAAAGCCAAGGCCCAAGCTGTTGACAATTTGGCAGAGACCAGTATGCAGCATTCACCTGATCTCCCAGTCATCCCATGGGTCACTAGATCGGTGCAAGAAATTAGAACTGGTCCCCACTTTGGGGAGGAACAGTGTGAGGAAGGAGTCTGTGAGCCAGGGATTTCAGAGAGGTGGACCTTCTCATGTTTTGCTTCCTTTTCTGGTTATGTGATTCCAATCTTACTCACAAAGATTTACCAGTCTCTCAGGAGCCCTTTTTGTGTTTTTCTTCAAACTTTAATCTTTGGTTCTCCAAATTAATCCTGCCCTCATTCTCTTGCATCTAGCTTGGCTTCCCTCAGTCTTACAAATCTGTGTGCTTTTCTGAGACCCCTAAAACAGGAACTTGCATCCCTAAACCCCTGAGATAGTACACACTTTCCTCTTCTGAGCCCCCACCATTCTGAGGATGCTCTTCCCATAGAAGAATGTAGGTGTGATGGATAATAGTTCATTTCCCATTTGGTATTGGTCAAATGAACTGTGGGAGCTCTTGTTAGGTTGAGCTGGGCCATGGTGGCTGCTGAGATGGACTCTATACCTTGCCACTGATGCTAGTCACTGGTAATTGTGCAAGTACCTTTGAAAGTTTAAAATGTGGAGTAAAATGTGAGACTTTCTTTCCTTCTCTCCCAAATGTTCTCCAAATCTTAGATTATGTAGGCTTCAGGCTGAGTTCTATCAACTTAATTTTCTTCTCTGTTTTTTAAAAAAGTTTCATTTACTTATTTGAGAGAGAGAGAGAGAGGAAGAGAGAGAGGAGGGGCAGAGGGAGAGAGAATCTCAAGCAAACTCCCTGCTGACCATAGAGCCTGATGTGGGGCTCAATCTCACGTGGAGATCACGACCTGAGCTGAAATCAAGAGTCAGATGCTTAACCTACTGAGCCACCCAGGTGCCCCTCCTCTCTGTTTTAATGCTTGAAAAGTTGGTGCAAGCATCCGTGAATAAACTAGGACAGCAAGAATACACTGGATGATGAGGCTGATAACATCTACAGTAGTTAATTCTTATTGAGCATTTATCACGGTCCATTAAGAGTGCTCCGTGTGTACATGCATTATCCCAGTTTCTCCCCTGAGCTGTCCCAGTGTCATTTTACCTTTGCAAAGATAAAATCTGAGGACCAGACACTTCGTTGAAGACCACTCAGTACACACACAGCAGGGATTCAACCTCGATCTTACTGGCAATAAGACTTGGACCCTTGAACATGATACTGTGTTTTTTTCACCACGTTTATCCTCAGCCCTCAGATCTTCTCATCTCTGCAGATGCTGCTTCCCTCCCCAGAGCCCAGACCCAGCACCTACTCATCACATGTTCCTTGGGGCTTCCAGGCACCTGCTGTGGTGTTAAGTGAATCAACAGAAGGAGCTGGAGAAGCAACACAGGATTCATGCTGCTGGCAGGACAGATGGGTAAGTCCTGGCTGAGGACTGCTGGATTTGACCAGACACAACTCAGAGGAGGAGAGAGGGAAGGAGGGCAAAGTAGAGGCATGCTGTGACCAGCCTTGCACCTGTGTATTCCAATGACAGATATCCAAGTACCTCCCAACCACGCCCACCCAGGGCCAGGTAGCTTTTTCAAATCTACACCCCTTTCATCCCCTAATCTTGTCCTCGTTATGTCTTTCCTCTGTCTAGGTCTTGTTAATTTCCTTTCACAAAACTTTAATAATTTTTCCCATGTAGAATTCTGGCATGTCTTTGTTATATTTATTCCTAGAAGCTTGGACTTTTAAAATAAAATGGTAAGGTGTGGGTAACTTCTTAGTCATTTCTTTCTGTTTGTTGCTAATGCAGAGAAATGACTTTTATGTATTGATCTGTTACTAGCTACCTTGCTAAATTCTCCCACAGTTCATTTTAATTTCTTGGCGTGTTCCTTGTAGTGTTTTGGGTAGTCAATCATCATCTGCAAATTATGACAGTTGTATTTTTTCTCTTAAAAGTTTATGCCACTGGGGCGCCTGGGTGGCTCAGTGGGTTAAGCCTCTGCCTTCAGCTCAGGTCATGATCTCAGGATCCTGGGATCGAGCCCCACATCGGGCTCTCTGCTCAGCGGGGAGTCTGCTTCCTCCTCTCTCTCTGTCTGCCTCTCTGCCTGCTTGTGATCTCTCTCTGTCAGATAAATAAATAAAATCTTTAAAAAAAAAGTTTATGCCATTTAAATTTTTTTTAAATTTTAAAATTCTTTTCAGCGTACCAGAATTCATTGTTTATGTACCACACCCAGTGTTCCATGTAATACATGCCCTCCATAATACCCACGACCAGGATCCCCCAACCTCCCACCCCCCCGCCCCTTCAAAACCCTCAGATTGTTTTTCAGAGTCCATAGTCTCTCATGGTTTGTCTCCCTCTCCAATTTCCTCCAACTCCCTTCTCCTCTCCATCTTCTCATGTCCTCCATGTTATTTCTTATGCTCCACAAATAAGTGAAACCATATGATAGTTGACTTTCTCTGCTTGACTTATTTCACTCAGCATAATCTCTTCCAATCCCATCCATGTTGATACAAAAGTTGGGTATTCATCCTTCCTGATGGAGAAATTTTATGCCATTTTTAAATGTCTCCTTGTGCTGGCCAGGACCTCCCCACATGACTGTATAGAAGTGAAGATGTACATATTCTTGTCTGATACCTGACTTAAAACGAAAGCTTCCCAAATTTCCCCTTTTAGGATAGTGTCTAATTTAGATTTCTCATAAACATCTTTTATCAAGTTTAGAAAGTTCTTTTTCATTCCCGGCAACAAGAAAATTTTCCTTAATTTATGTGAAATTATATCTATTGCTTTTTTCTGTTAACATGTTGAATTGCATTTCAGGTTTTCTTTTTTTTTTTAAAAAGATTTTATTTATTTATTTGACAGACAGAGATCACAAGCAGGCAGAGAGGCAGGCAGAGAGAGAGGGGAAAGCAGGCTCCCTACTGAGCAGAGAGCCCAATGTGGGGCTTGATCCCCGGATCCTGGGCTCATGACCTGAGCCTAAGGCAGAGGCTTTAATCCATTGAGCCACCCAGGCGCCCCTCAGGTTTTCTTTTTTTAAAAGTTTTATTTATTTATGAGAGAGAGAGAGAGAGAGAGAGAGGGAAAGAGGATGTGAGAGTGGGAGGGGCAGAGGGAGAGAGAGAGAAAGAATCCCAAGAAGACTCTGTGTTGAGCTCACAGCCCACTTCGGAGCCTGATCCCATGATCCTGAGATCACCACCCAAGCAAAAATCAAGACTGGGTTGCTCAACTGACTGCAGCACACAGACACTCCCATTTCAGGTTTTCTAATATTAAACCATTTTTACATTTCTCCCATAATCTAATGTGATTATTGGATATTATCATTTTCATATAATTTAGTTCAGTTTGCTATTTTCAAGGAATTTTATTTTTATTTTTATTTTTTTTAATTTTATTTTTTATAAACATATATTTTTTTCCCCAGGGGTACAGGTCTGTGAATCGCCAGGTTTACACACTTCACAGCACTCACCATAGCACATACCCTACCCAATGTCCATAACCCCACCCCCCCTCCCAACCCCCCTCCCCCCAGTAACCCTCAGTTTGTTTTGTGAGATTAAGAGTCACTTATGGTTTATCTCCCTCCCAATCCCATCTTGCTTCACATCTTGTTCATAAGAGAGCTGGACCCGTAACCTTCCTTTCTCACACTGTTCTTCCCTGCTTTTATCATATGTTCACAATGACCTCATAGAAAGTGTGGCAATGAAGAAGTCAAACTCTCTCTCTTTGCAGATGACATGATACTTTATATAGAAAACCCAAAAGACTCCACCCCAAACTACTAGAACTCATACAGCAATTCAGTAATGTGACAGGATAAAAAAATCAATGTACAGAAATCAGTTGCTTTCTTATACACTAACAATGAAAATACAGAAAGGGAAATTAGAGAATCGATTCCATTTACTGTAGCACCAAGAACCATAAGATACCTGGGCATAAACCTAACCAAAGAGGTAAGGATCTGTACTCAAGGAACTATAGAACACTCATGAAAGACATTGAAGAAGACACAAAATGATGGAAGACCATTTCATGCTCATGGCTTGGAAGAATAAACATTACAAAATGTCTATACTGCCTAGAGCAATCTATACTTTCAATGCCATTCCGATCAAAATTCCACCGGCATTTTTCAAAGAGCTGGAACAAACAATCCCAAAATTTGTATGGAAACAGAAGAGACCCCAACTTGCTAAGGAAATGTTGAAAAAGAAAAACAAAATTGGGGGCATCACATTGTATGATTACAAGCTTTACTACAAAGCTGTGATCACCAACAGCATGGTACTGGTACAAAAACAGACACAGACCAGTGGAACAGAGTAGAGAGTCCAGAAATGGCCCCGCAACTCTATGGGTAACTCATCTTCCACAAAGCAGGAAAAAATATCCAGTGGAAAAAAGACAGTCTCTTTAATAAATGGTGCTAGGAAAATTGGACAGCTATGTATAGAAGAATGAAAGTTGACCATTCTCTTATACCATACACAAAGATAAACTCGAAATGGATAAAAGACCTCAACATGAGACAGGAATCCATCAGAATCCTAGAGGAGAACATAGGCAGTAACCTTTTTGATATCAGCCACAGCAACTTCTTTCAAGATATGTCTCTAAAGGCAAAGGAAACAAAATCGAAAATGAACTTTTGGGATTTCATCAAGATCAAAAGCTTCTGCACAGCAAAGGAAACAGTCAACAAAACAAAGAGGCAACCCACAGAATGGGAGAAGATATTTGCAAATGACAGTACAGACAAAAGGCTGATATCCAGGATCTATAAAGAACTCCTCAAACTCAACACACACAAAACAGATAATCATGTCAAAAAATGGGCAGAAGATATGAACAGACACTTCTCCAATGAAGACACACAAATGGCTAAAAGACACATGAAAAAATGTTCATCATCACTAGCCATCAGGGAGATTCAAATTAAAACCACATTGAGATAGCACCTTACACCAGTTATAATGGCCAAAATGAGCAAGACAGGAAACAACGTGTGTTGGAGAGGATGTGGAGAAAGGGGAAACCTCTTGCACTGTTGGTGGGAATGCAAGTTGGTTGCAGCCAATTTGGAGGAGTGTGGAGATTCCTTAAGAAATTAAAAATAGAGCTTCCCTATGACCCTGCCGTTGCACTACTGGGTATTTACCCCAAAGATACAAATGTAGTGAAAAGAAGGGCCACTTGTACCCCAATGTTCATAGCAGCAATAGCCACAGTCACCAAACTGTGGAAAGAACCAACATGCCCTTCAATGGACGAATGGATAAAGAAGATGTGGTCCATATACACTATGGAGTATGATACCTCCATCAGAAAGGATGAGTACACGAGTTTTGTATCAACATGGACAGGATTGGAAGAGATTATGCTGAGTGAAATAAGTCAAGCAGAGAGAGTCAATTATCATATGGTTTCACTTATTTGTGGAGCATGAGAAATAACATGGAGGACATGAGGAGATGGAGAGGAGAATGGAGTTGGAGGAAATTGGGGAGGAGATGAACCATGAGAGACTATAGACTCTGCAAAACAATCTGAGGGTTTTGAAGGGGTGGGAGGTGGGAGGGAGGGTGAGCCTGGTGGTGGGTATTATGGAGGGCATGTATTGCATGGAGCAGTGGATGTGGTACATAAACAATGAATTCTGTTACACTGAAAAGAAATTAAATTAAAAAAATTAGAGCTTCCCTATGACCCTGCCATTGCACTACTGGGTATTTACCCCAAAGATACAGATGTAGTGAAAAGAAGGGCCATCTGTACCCCAATGTTCATAGCAGCAATGGCCACAGTCGCCAAACTGTGGAAAGAACCAAGATGTCCTTCAACGGACGAATGGATAAAGAAGATGTGGTCCATATATACTATGGAGTATTATGCCTACATCACAAAGGATGAGTACACAAGTTTTGTATCAACATGGACGGGACTGGAAGAGATTATGCTGAGTGAAATAAGTCAAGCAGAGAGAGTCAATTATCATATGGTTTCACTTATTTGTGGAGCATAAGGAATAACACGGAGGACATGGGGAGATGGAGAGGAGAAAAGAGTTGAGGGAAATTGGAGGCGGAGACGAACCATGAAAGACTGTGGACTCTGAGAAACAATCTGAGGATTTTGGAGGGGCGGGCTTGGGGGGTTGGGTGAGTCTGGTGGTGGGTAGTAAGGAGGGCACGTATTGCATGGAGAACTGGGTGTGGTGCATAAACAATGAATTTTGGAACACTGAAAAGAAATTAAAAAAAAAAGAAAGTGTGGAATAGCAGCCCCTATTTATCAATTCTGTGGAGAGTTTTGTGTAAGGTAAAGAAAACTAGTTACTTGAATCCTTAATTTCCTTTTTTCTCCTTC